ACTGAAGGATTGCCCTTTCACCCACTCTTTAATTCCATAACACTCTCTCTCTCTCTCTCTCTCAACTTAGAGGATGTGTGCAAATTGAGGAGCACCTAGTCTTATGAATTTCAGTAACCTTCATATATGATTTTGTTTATTCCTTAAATTCCTTCATTTATTGAGTATTTCTCTCATTGACTTATTTTAAATTACTATCTTGACTAATATTTTCAAATTAAGTTGAGAGAAATGTGCAATTCTGACAGTTCTCAATTGATTTTTAGGTCAGTTGTTCTAAGATTGTTTAATGTGACAATTTTAAGTCATTTTGTAAATTGGCCTAATTTACTGAGATGTCCAAAATCTCTTGACAAATTAATACGCAATAATAATCTTATTTTTTTATTGGTCTATTCTTGATCAGTTTGTGTAATGGATTCAAGTGTACTAGTAAAACAATTTCTAGCTTGACTACTTGTTTGACAGAACTTTTACTTACATGGTGTAGTCAAGAAGAACATAGGTCAAATGCTTTGAACTTTTATCCTAGTCTATCAGGTAGGTAAAATTGGTTGTCATATACTTTTTTTTTTTTTTTTTTTAATTTCTAATTAGGTGTTTAGTTCTGTTCTTATAAAACATGATTGCCAAGTTTAATGAATAATTCAACACCAAACTGGTTTACCTGTAAAATTCAGGTTGAGTGCTTTTGTTATGAATACATAGATTAATTTTAGGTGTGGTTAACATTGAAGAGTTACTGAATAAGTTATTTTTATTCCTTTCATGTGCTTATATGAATTTGGAAAGAATTTAACAATTTACTCTTTTCTTTTTTTCTTCATAAAGTTCATTGTTTTAACTAAGAAATGTAGTCCCTTCTAACCATCCTGAAAATCTGTTTGCTTTTGTTCAAATTACTGCAAATTCTCCCAAACTGATAACCAGGTAGTTGATCACTGAGTATTTATAACTTTAATCATCGTCCTCTTGTGTTTATAATGATTTTTGGGTGACAAGCAGTTGAATTATTAAAGTTACACTAAAAATATTGCCTACAAAAATAAGACTCATTAGACAAATGTTTGTTAAAATAGAACATTCATTTTCTAAAATATCAATTGTAATACAACTTTTGCCCTTTCTACCAATTTGCTATTAGCATAGTCTCCTAAATTTTATTATACTATAGATATATTGGACTATATTGTACCAAGTATAAAGCAAAACTATTTTCCCTGAATATCTTTTGATAGTTTCTTTTATCAGACATATGCATCACCTGAAAATTTTTTTTTTTTTATTATTGGACTTTTAACTTAAATTTCAAAATTTGGAATCTCACTTTCTTCAGAAATCTTGTAAATGTTGAATTTTTACATCTAATGTTACTGAATAGACCTTTTGTGGCATTTGGAAAGTAATTTTGCAAATATTAAATTCTCAAACCTATAACTATTTGGGTGCATTACAATTCTAACAATTATGCTGATGAATGAATTTCATATAGTTCTTCAGTTGCAGAACTTTATCTCAGTTATTTGAAATCTTTCTTTACTAATTATGTAAAGGCATGTTTTCTTATGAATTACTTCTTTTTGTTTTTTTTAATATCTGGGTAATTATATTTACTTTGTGTGTAAATCTCCAAACACGCAAAAGGTATATTGTTAAAGTAATTTTAAGCATCAATAAACTAGTTTTTATTCCTTCTTGAAAGTGATGACCTTCCTCATTTAATTTTTCTTTGGTTTTAAATGCTTTATTGGTTCCATCTATTACTAAATTTTTTATTATCACTGGACTTATTACATTTTTTTTCTCCAAGTTCTAAGTCATTTTTTCTTGCATCTGTAAATTGACTTTTGAATTACATGTTTGCCTTTCATACAATTTTTTTCTGCACAAGATACACATAACTTTCATTTAGAAATTCATGGTTCATTATATTTTTTTTCACTTTGAAAATGAGACAGTCTGCTAGAATAACTAAAAATATGCATCTAACCATCTAAAGGGGTTAAATTAAATGTCATTTTTGTAATGGTTCTTAACATTCAATCTATTATATAAAGTTGTTCATTACTTTGTCAGCAGTGCATGTAGTGAGACTTTGTACAATTTAATCACAAATGTGTTTAGTTCTCTGTTTACATCAAATATTTTTGTCGTTTAAAATATTGCTTTTAGTTTCTTGGATGCATAAATGCTGGACATGTCATTTGAAGAGATTTTTTTTTTTTTGTTTCTTAGGATTAGCAAAATTTGAAAAGAAAAATTTTAAATTTAAATCTAGCAAACTGACATGCTTGCAGTTGAACAATATTTCCAAAAGTATTATCTGTTTAAAAACCCAAAAAAAAAAAAAAAAAAAAAAAAAAAGCACAAACTTTGTTTACAAAGTTTAATTTCTGCCTGTGGTCATTTTTTCTTTTTAAAGTTATTTTATTTTTTAAACAGGACAAAACTTTCTGCATTATATTTGTTTGCATTAAAATTGTCATTTTAATTTTTCTTTAAGAGCTATGATTTTTAATATTTATAACAAAGATTTAATAGCTGCTGTTCATTTTGTACCTTTAAGAAACTACATTCAAGTGGGAAAGACACACACACATATATATAATATAATATATATATATATATATATATATATATATATATATATATATAAACTTGTTGAATCAAAAATCCCTTGTGAGTCAGTAAACTTTGTGTCAATCAAAAACCACTTATGTAAGTAACAATTTTTACCTGCCTAATTCAGAGATAAGTGGGTTCTTGAGTGATTTTTATTTGTCAGGAAAATCAGGAGGAGGAAATGCCTTAATGTCACTTGTCACATACATTACTTTCTTGATATTTAGATATTGCTTTGAAATTATTTCTTTAAAGCATAATAGGAATCAAACTGAAAATTTCACAAATAACTAAAGTTTGTCATAAAATAACAGATAATTTAGTGAAATAGAGAAAGGTTGTTATCTCTTTATACTTTCTGAATAACACAGAAACAGAATCCTTTTATTATCCAGCCACTTGGTTGAGATCAAAATGGTGTAGCCATTATATTTAATTTAGGTCATAGAACTTGATATACAGCACGTTGCGATTCTTATTTTAAGGCTGTAAAATGTTTGCATCGAAGAAAAACAAATTAACCCGCTAGTCAGCATATGTCCTGCTACTTGACAATAGATTTGCTTTTGGTCCTTCAGAGCAAATGAATTTCATATGATGCTAAAAAAAAATCTTCAGGTCATTTTGAAGTAGGCATTTAAAACTCTGCATAAAACCATCTGCTTTCTGAATAAATGGTGACAAAAACTTGTGCAATATGTACTTCAGTCAGATCACAGTAATAACTATTTTTATATCTCTTAGAAGTAATTTGAATGGCAATGCACTTAACATGTGGATTAGAGTTCAGTGACAAAATTAACCCACCTTCAGAATATCTACTTTCATGTCTGTAATACATAGATCATTTCTGATTCAACTATTTTTTATTCCTTATAAGTAAACATTTAGATGATGTTGATCATGTTTCAATGACAACAGAAATTAAATTTTGATGACATAGTACTGCCAGGTGTTATGGCATATAAAAACCAATAAATACTTGGTTGATGATAGTATAGAAGAGGTTTACCAAATTAAACAATATTAGAAAGTTTGATATTACTAAATTTTTAACAAACTTCTCATTAATAGCCCAACTTAGCATGGCTTATTTTAAAAGCACCCCCACCTCATTGGGTCTTAAAAAGATACACTCAATCTCTTCTGGCAATTCCTGCTGTGAAGTATTTTTTTTTTTTTTTTTTTTTTCTTTAAATGTAGAAGGTAAAGGAGAAAAAGCATTTAGTTGCTAAAAAGAAAACTTTAAATGAAATTGATAAAAACTGTTGTCATTGTGCTTGTCTTTTTAATAATGAAACTATCAGGATAATCATGTCTGAAGACACACACACACACACAGTGAGGACAAAACCAAGTGTTGACAGTCTTTCATGCTTTTACACACTCTTCAGCCCTGAAGATTCTGTGTTGTCCTCAGTGTCTACTTTTATATCTGCATACTCTATCCCTGATATTGAGCATTTTACTCGTAAATATAGTACACTTTAAAGCTAAGTTTATCTTGCATAAGAATCTTGCTTTTTTTTTTTTTTTAACCTAGTTTTCAATTTATCTTATTTGTATTTTTAGACTTTGTATATATTCAGCTGGTACTTTTAAATTTGTTTTGGCTAAACATTAATTAGCTATGATCATATTAATGATCTTTGAACTCCTCTTTTCATGTCAAATACTTGACTCTGAGAGGCAATTTTTTTTCTCTTCTTACTGATAATCTAAGATCCAAATTTAGTGTAACCACTGGTGCATTTGTAATTATTTAGCTGGTTTTAATATAGTGCTTAAAATGTCAAGATGTCACTTCTAATTTTAGTGTATGCAACAGTGAAAGAGAAACCATTTTCTTTTCTAGATAAGTCAGTCTAAAAAGAAAAACAAAGAAATTTTTTTTTTTTTTTTTTTTTAGTCTTCAATTGGAAAAGGGGTTGGGAACAATAGGCTATGTGTTTGGATGAATAAATAGGGCTGATAAGATTTTACTACTGTTATTTTAATGTGCAATTGTTATAGTTTTTTTTTTAATTTCCTGTTCAATTATCAAAAGAATTGTCTAAAATGAGGACAAAATTTAGATAATTTTTTTTTTTTTTTTTTTTCTGAAATATGTTCAATTTATCACAAACAAAACAAAATTACATTTGTTTAAATTGATAACCTCATTCCAATTTTATTGCAGCTATTGATGCCAGAATAATTGCTAATTCTGTTCATATTATCTATTAATGAGAAAACTAGTCACTTACAGCTCTTGATAATGATTAAGTTAAATTTTAAAATTTTTGTCTTAAATTGTTTAATTTCTTGCTTGCTATGAGAAAGTGATTGGTTGATTCTCTCTTCCTCAGGTATGATATAATAAAACCCAAGAACTGAAGATGAAAGGCAAAGATACAGAAGTAGTCTCTACAACGTCGAGCACATCAAAAGGGTCCGAGAAGAGGAAAAGTTCTGCCCGTTTTTCTCTTCGGCGGATCTTCTATCCACACAGCCGGAGATCCAAGTCTCAAGCAAGCCTAGACTTGGATACACGGTCTGAGAGCAGCATCACTAACACAAATCTTATTGACAAAGATGGCAATACAGTGCGGTCATCTTCTTCATCATCTTCAGACTCATTACCAGCAGCCCAGTTTCCTGTGGCAAATCACCACACTTCGTTACAGCAGCAAACGCAGCCAGTAGCCCAGCAAGAATTGCAGACTGACCACCCGACCCAAGGACAGCAAGTTCAAGGCCAACAAGTACAAACTATGACAGAGAGAGAGTGTCCCCTCTGTCTTTCTGAGTATGGAGAGGAATTCTACCCGGATATCAGCACTTGCTTCCATCGCTCGTGCATTGAATGCCTAAAACAGTATCTTCGGATTGAAATCATGGAAAGCAGAGTGAACATTTGTTGTCCTGAATGTGCAGAACGCTTTCACCCAAATGACATAAAAATGATTCTCAATGATTCAATGTTGATACAGAAATATGAAGATTTCATGGTCAGACGGGTGCTTGTGTCAAACCCTGATGCAAGATGGTGTCCGGCACCCAACTGTGGGTAAGTATCGCTTTCATTCTCTAAATGACACCTGCCTGAACTAGTGATTTTTTTTTTTTTTTTTTTTTTGGATGTTAAATAGACTGAGCCTTTTCCTTGATACGGGAAAGGAATTATTGCAATGTCTTTCTCTCTTCTGTGTGCGAGATATATATGATTTTAAAACAAAAACTTTCCCACACCTTAACTAAAGACTTCTAACATTTAAAACCAGACAGTGAATTATTTAGTGTTAACACCCTTACACACAAGGCAACAGCGCACCCCACCAAAACTTCTTCAGACTTTTAACATCATCCAACATCTGCAACACATCACTGCACCAAGGTAATATCACCTGCAACAAACCCCAATGCCTGGTCTGCAAACACATCACTTGAAACATTGCACTGCAGTGGAGAACTTTCAGAGGGAAATTAACAGGAGATAACTGATAACTGACATCCATCAAACATGGCACGTGGAACTAGAACAGTCTGCCCCAGTGAGAGAAATAAAGGGTTCAGTTCGACATTCCAACCACCTGAAATGGCCGGAGCGTGCAACGGCCGAAACGTTGTGATAAATATGTCGACAAAGATCAGGACAATAGTCCGAATAATGTAAATAATGAATGTAATTCTCTTATAAAAAAATTTTTACAAAAATAAAATATGCTTTTTTGAAACTTTGAGGGATATGATCTGATTTAAAGTATAATTAATCTAATTTGAAACGAATATTTACTTTCAGTTTAAAATATCACAGAAATGCATTTTTTTAATCCAACAGTAACTGTGTTTTAACCCAGCAATAGCTGTTTTGACAGCCTGATTACAGATCTAATGTTCTACAGAGACTTTATCTGTAAAACGTAACTTAAGAAAATAAACAGAATACATACAGTTGTGTATACATATAAGGAATTAATGGATTTGTTTATAATCTGACATTTCTTATTGCTTTAAATGTTATATTTAGTGAATGCATGTATTTGAGTAGATGTAACTCTTTAAATCTCTATTGGCCCCCTACAGTAGTTTTAATGAAGAAAATGTGCCTTCTGGCAAGGTTCAAACCTGTATCCCCCTTGTGGGTGGGGGACTACCATTAATCCTGGCAGAATAATTGAACTTTGCTTGACTGAAGAGCTTTCTGTGGCTGAGCACTCAAAGAGCACATGGGGCTTTATATAATTTTTTCTTTTAATATACAGAATGTTTGGAGCTGGTGTGTGTATATATATATATATATATATATATATATATATATATATAATTAAAAATTCAAATATCTGAATCTTGGACAAAAATAAAGAAAACCTGGGTATGTCTGTCAAATGAATCCTTTGTATTTACAAACACCTGTAAAGAATTCAAGAGTCAAAAAATAGTAAAATAGTCATTAGTTAGTTGGTACTCAGAGAATCTGTAGTTTAGAAAACTTAAATAGATGGTACACAAAAAAAGCTGTGAAGACTTATCATTAGTGAAAATTCACTGACAGTTTTTGTTGGAGACTATTCATTTGAAGTTGCTGACACATGATCATCAGTAAAGATTCACTGACCATCTAACCTGTTGTAACTGGTTCATTTAAAGTTACTGAGATCTGTTTCTCTTGACATGCACTGTGAGGTGGCGGGAGAAAAAAAGCTATGTAGCTATGTCTTTTCAGCTTTGGAAACAGCTGCATCTCTGTTCTCTGAAAGTCGAAATCTGGCTTTTTATAAGGCTTTTTTCTTCCCCAAAAGTAGTCTTGAAAAATAGTGTTTTAGTTTTCTCTGGTCAAATATTTCATATGTTAATTTCTAATCAATAGTTAGACCTTGAGTTAAATAGTTTGTTGTATTGTGGAATCTTTTTGGCATGTTATTGGGTAGAAAATAGTTTGGGTGTCTTTTAATATGCTATGTATGTGGATATGTAATTGTGTTGGAAATAGGGTTTATTTCCTGTAAGTATGCCAGTCATCTCAATTTACACTTCCACTCTAAACTTGTTTTAATCTATAAAGAAATTATATTTTTTCCAGTAGTTTTCATGGTGCATACACATATTACAATATACAATTCTTACAAACTGAAAATGAATGATTCCTTTAAAGTCTTCATTTTTGTTCAGTTTTCTATTTTAGATCACTGAAAACTTTGTATCCATTATATATCTGCTGTCTGTCCCATTAAAAAAAAAAAAGCAGCTTACCAAGGGGATGCATTTTAATTACTGAAGTGGCTACACACATTGATATTTGATCTGAAATTTTTGCTTGTGAAATTTTATTTTATGTATTTTATTTTATTCCTCTTTTAGAATAAATTCACACTTTGGTTATTGGTGACAGTTACATTAAAATAGGTAGAAAATTCTTTGTTTTTATGATTGACATTATTGACACACTTTGGAGCAACTTTCTTATTTAAAGTGTAACAAATAGTTAAGGAGCTAGCCAGCTGTGAAATTTGAACTTCACTTTTATTGTTCATTTTAGGATAAGAATTTATTCATAAAATTTGCTACATTTTGATTTGGGGGTAAAAGTAAATGGATAAGACTATTAAAGAACGTTTTTCTTTCCTCTTTCGGATTGATAAGGTTACATAAGTTTGTCTAAAGATTAGCCTCTATTCCAAAAAAGCAAAAGCTGTATAACCTTAAATAAAGTAGGGAATTACTTGTCCGACAGCCACTTCTCAATTGTCTGATAAACAAATATTACTCTCTCTCCAGGAGATGTTTGGCAGCTTCTTTGATCCAATGTTGATTTTGATTGCTTGGAACAGAATCAACAATAATTCTGAAATTGCTGTTCATCTGTTGTAGCTTTTGTTATACTTACCTACTACTTAGATATAAATGTTACTTTTCCTCAATTCTGTCACTTATACACTGAGTAATAATGAGGTATCACTTACCAATTGACAATGTTAGGTGGTAACGGTCTTTCAGAACTCAAAGAAAACTGCATTACAAGCTTTCAGTTATAAAACTTACAGCAATACTTTACCTTCTGATATCACTTTTGCAAGTAATGCATCTTACTAGTTAACAACAATTGAACTTAGAGAAACCTTTACTCAGATATCCATTATTACTGTGAAGTATAAATCACTTTTGTTCTAATATATGCTATAAAATATATAAAAATAGCCACTTTTTTTTTTTTTTTTTTTTTTAAATTTTATTAATCAAAACAAAAATTCATCTGCTGGTAATTTTCAGATTTAACATAACTTCTTTTTTTTTTTTTTTTTTTTTTTTCCTTCTAGATTTTATAATCAGTTCTAAGATTTTTTCCAAACTTATATTTTATGATTTTTACCCAAATTCTTTTTTGTAAAGAAAAAAAAAGTTGAACTTTTCAAAATCAGTGTGATTCTCTTGTGCATTTGAAACCTCTTAAAGATGAAATAGAAATATATTTTTATACATCTTTCCCATCTTGGATGAGATGCTTGTTGTAATTCCATGAATAATAAAATATCAGATGAGTCGTTTTGAACTGTTTATCCATCCAAACAAGTCGGCAGAAACTAATGCACATTTCCTGGAAACCAGCCAATTACTGAACTCCAGTTCAAGGGTTGAAAAACTTGCTTTGATAAGTAGAAAATCTTAAAACACATTTTATCCAAGCCAAGAAAAAAAAAAAAAAAAAACCTTTTTGTGTGTACAAGATAAAAAATATATGCACATAAACCTACTCAACTTTATTTTAATTTTGCTTTTCATGTAGACTTTCAAATAAAAAAAATTAAAAAGTGAATTGTGACTTGATTAATGTCAATTTTTGACTAGTGTTTCTTTCATCTTTATTTCTCTTGCTTTTTATCATGACTCTTACTCTTTCCACATTTAAGCTTCATAGATCAGAAATTCAAAAATATTGATTAATCTTTTTCAACTTGTATTGATTTAATTTTTAAGCTTGAACTGTTTTAATTTAAGACTAATGTCAAGTGATGGATGAGAATTAATGATACAAAGTTGTCTTGTAATTTTATAAATTCTAACACTCATGAGGAAAACATTCATGAATGTTTAATTTGGTGGGTGGGGTCTTTACACCTAATGTCTAAAAATAGATGTGTGTAGTGTAGAAGTTATTGGTATAGAAAGTAGAATCATTAAGTAGCTGAAATTTTGGCCTTGTCTGTTGTATTAACTTTCACATGAATTCTCTTTAGAAAAGCTATGAATGTCAATCCCCAAAATTATGGGTTAAATATCAGACTAGGCTTTTCTAGCTTTGGGTAGCAGCCAATCTAAGAGCTGCTCTGAATTCAAAGCAGTAGAAATCATTGCCACTATACTTATAAGTGACAATTCAAATATAATAAAAAAAAAAAAATAATCTGGAAAGCCATAATCCCTTATGTATTAAACTGACATTTTTTTTTCTTTTGACTATCATCTCTGAATGGATCATATCTGGAATAGTTTTATAAACAAAAAAAAAAATCCTGAAAAAAAAGACAAAAAACAAAACAACCAACCAACCAGACCTGGTTCACTCCTGAATGCACTGCAAACATAACTACTACTTCAATATCTATCACAAGGTGTTGTATAGTTGGATACTTGCTGTATTCAGAACTGCCTGCAAAACTTGCAAGAAATTTCTGGAAAATGCAAAATGTAACTATGCACAAGTGCTCCAGGCCAAGGTTGAAAGCAAACAAATTGGATCTTAAGAGTTCTGGAAAATTTCCAATCAAAATCTGAATCAAGACAATGCATCTGTGTCCATTATTATAAATGTCCCCAGGATCATCCTTTCCTTGTCAGATAAGGGGAAGCTCTTTGCCTTAATCTTTGCCTCTAACTTAGAAGACATAGGACATTCCCCTTCCTGGTTTCCCTCATTTCACTGAGCATAATCTAAGTATTTTATTACAGCCCTGGAAGTCTCAAAACTTATCAAGTCTTGACCCTAAGAAAGCCACTGACCCAGGCAACATCCCAGTGGTTATCCTCAAGAACAGGGGTGGGCAAACTTTTTAGTACAAGGGCCGCATTTTA